GCTGAGAATGGGCTGAGAGATCTCTTCCCCAGGAGAGGCATAGCCCTTAACATGTGACCTAAGAAGATCATGGAAGAAGACTCTCCCAGGAGGCTGAGTCTAAGAATGTGAAAACCAGTGAGCAGCAGAGATGCCTGCAGAAAGTGGCCCCTTCAAAACAGGTTCAGGAACCTATAAGGAGTGCCTCCTGGGACCCCATTTGTGCTTCAGACCAACACTGTGTGTCTCTTTTCATCTCAGTTGCAGGGGAACTTTATACAACATAATCCTCTAACTGTTCCATTAATTGTATATTGAGTGTGCAGAGGACAGTTTACTTGTTTTTGTTTGTTTTCTGCTTGTTTCTTCATAGTGCTTCAAAGGAGTCTCATTAAGACCCGAGGATGATGATAGGATATCAGTCAGAGGCCATGCCTTTGATCAGGAGTCACTGAAAGGGGACACTAACTTGTCTCCTTGCCTCCTGCAGAGGAAGAAGAGAGGACATGAATTCTCAGGCAGGACTCTGAAGCTGACTGTGGAGCTCCAAATGACTGCTCATTAATATCCGGTTCCCTTTCCTTCCAGCAACTCAGAAGGATTGCAAGCCTTGTGCAGACTGACATGGCCATAGGACTTGCCTGGCTTATTACAAATGTGAGTAGAAATGGCCTGTTCCACTTCCTGAGAGAGCCACTTAATTAGCTTAACTTTCAATCTCTGCTTTTTCTAGACTGTGGTGGCTGTTGAATTGGGTATTGATATGAAGGTTCAATTTTTAATCTTTGCATACAATATAGCTGACCTGGAGGATCACCTTATTCAAAAGGAACTAGTATGTATGTGCAAGAAATAAACCACCTTTTTTAACCACTGAGATTTAAGGTTGATTATTATGACCATATCACCCATCATACATAACATGACTGCTGCCTCAATATTTTAAATACTGAATACAAAGAAAAAACGTTTTACAAAGGAAATCATCTCTTTACAATTTTTTTTATTGATTTATTTGAGAGAGAGAGGAAAGGAGAGAGTGAGAAACATCCTAGTGCATTTGGTTCCACCTATTTACGCAGTCATTGGTTGCTTCTTGTATGTGCCCTGAGCAAAGATGGAATCTGCAACCTTGGCTTATCCGAACCAAACTCAGAGCCACCGTCTAGGGGAAGGCAGAATGTTCTTGATACTAAATCATGAATAGAGAAATTTTTTAAATATAGGATGACCTCACTCAATGGACATAAATTCAAAACCTCTAAATATTAGCAAACAATTGGCAGAAACTCTAAAAGTATAATATAGTATAACCAAGCAGGCTTTCTGTGATGTTCATCTTTTTAAATCAATCAAAGTAATAATCCACATGAACAAAAACCTCATTTAATTATCACAAGAGTTACACAATTATAATGTATGTTAAATATTCACCCATAAGAAAGAAATAAATTGTTAACAAATTAGAAATAAGAGAAAAAGGTCCTCATTCTGGTAATGAGTATATGATATAAACACCATTTGACCATGAAAACCACAGGAAAATACCACTTTACCAAAATAGCCATCACCTGGCTTAAACAGAAACCAAAAAATGAAAGAATTGGTGAGAATATAAAGAAATAAACCCCTTCTTAGTCTTTTACTAGTATGTAAAATGGGGTAACCACAATGGAAAATGGCTTGAAGTTCTTCAACCATGAAATATAGAGGTATTATATGTCCCAGCAATTCCACTCATATGTATATACCCAAGAGAAATAAAATTATCAGTGCACACAAAATCTTGTCCATAAATATTCAACACATTTAGGTATCAATTGGTAGATGAAATATAGTATACCCAGACAATGGATATTATGGCAATAAAAAGTAATGCACTACACATACATTCTACAACATAGATGAATGAGCTCGGAAAACATCATGCTAGGTGAAAAAACCAATGAGAAGAGCCCACCTATTGTAAATCCCACTTATACAGAATATGCAGAATGAGAAAATCTATGGAGACCGCTATGGTCTGAATGTTTGTATAGTCTCAAAATACTTTAGTTGCATCCTGAAAGATGATGGTATTCTCCTGAAAAATGATGGTATTAAGAATTCAGGCTTTTGGGATTAGTGGTCTTATAAAAGAGAATCCAGAGAAATCCTTCTCCCCTTCCAACAGGTGAGCACACAGCAAAAGGCACCACCTGTGAATCAGAAGGCGTGACTTCACTGGGCACCAAACCTGCCAGTGCTTTCATCGTAGCCTTCCCAGTTTGCAGAACTATGAGAAATGATTTTCTATTGTGCATAAGCTACCCAATCTGTGGTAATTTGTTAGAGCAGCACGGATGGACTAAGACAGAGACAAAATAGGGTAGTAGATGCCCAGAAGCAGTTTCATGGGGGGAAAAGGTGAGCGACTGTTAATTGGAACAGGTTCCTTTTTGGGATTATGACAGGTAGAAAATTGTTTGTGGTGATGCTTACACAACTCTGGGAATACACGAAAAACCGTTGAATTGTATGCTTTGAAAAAGTGAACTATATCATATGTGAATTATATACCAACGAGGCTATTATATAAAAACAAATGAACAAAACCAAAAATTCCATAATGTTCTTTTTTTGATGGGACTCAGTCTGGATTGTTTATACTGAATCCCGCAGTAAAGAACAGTAGATAAAAACTTATAATGTTGCTCTGAAAGTTCCATTATATACCTAGAGACATAATGACTCTTACTTTTCCTATTTCTTTCAGCCATCCTAGAACTCCTTTCAAGCCTTGAACTACAGTTATTACTTTAGCTGGCAGGACTTCATGTAACCGTGCCACGGGCTGCAATATTCCCCTCTTTGAGCTTCCCTCTGCTAGGTTTGTCAGTTTTACACTTTTTGAAGGATGGAGACTGAGAGCTGACTTGCTGTTTGAATTATGCCTACACGTCTGATTTTGCATTTATCTTCACTGCTTGATATTTTTGTTCTATTTGTTGTGCTGAATAGAAAAATTTATTAGAATAATTTTGAGTCATTCCATTTTTCTCCCAGTAAATATTATTTAATACCTTCACCCTACAAAGGATTTTAAAGCGCTTAGTCTCTGCCAAATCCTATGCTAAACAGTAAATCATGTGCCCTTGGGACAGCCATCAAACAGGAAAAAACAAGATACTAAGGAAAGTAAAGGAATTTGACTGAGGAGGGATTATAGACAATTTCTGTAATGAAAAAGTCACAGAAATAATTCTAAAATCCCCAACAGCCTGAAAATAATTCAGCCTCTAGAGCACCAATTTTCAACCTCTTTCATCTCATGGCACACATAAAATAATTACTACAATTCTTTGGGACACCAATACATAGGTATAATTTTGAATCATTCACACCATACAGCTATTGGTACGTTGGTTGTTGTCCTTTTTATACATGATAATTCAAGGGAAAAGAGGTCAATGCCCCTAACTAAGTAGTCAAGAATTGCATGTTTTAAAAATTCTAGCTTCACACCAGTTGAAAATCACTGCTTTAGAGTTTTGTAGTAGGAAGCTCTTCACTGAGCCTTGCCACTAGAAGGAGGTAGCATATATGAGATACCTACCTACGCTTAGATAGGACACACAAACCTGGAAGGATTGCTGACTGATTTGATCCCCAGTTCTAAAAAAGTTAATATCAGGAGCCACAAGAGGGGGCTGTTGCCACAGGGAATTGAAGCTCCTTCCAGGGTGAGTTAGAGCATGTCCTTGAGCTGTGAAGGAAATTCCTTTCATCCCCTTTGTTTCCTTGTCCTTTATCAGCTCACAAGGAGCTTCAGTGCAGCCTCAAGCACAAGAATGAGCCCTTTCCCAGATAGAGAGCAAGGAGCTGACCCATCATGTGAAGAGGAAGGAGAGGTGATTAATAGTTTAATTTAAAAGGCCAAATACTTGCCCTGTAGTGAAATGAGAAGTTTAGTTACTGTAGTTGAGAGGAAGGAAATATTTTAACTTTATTCTATCTTATTTTGTAAAAAGTAACTACTTTTGAGAATAATCAGAGGAATTCCTTTGTTTATTTCTACCTCTCTTGTCAAATGTCCTTACTTCCCTTTGTAAATCTTCTCTACCCGTCTCCTCCTTCCCTGCTTTTCTTCTCTTTTTCTCAATGCATGCCACCTCTGAGCAAGGGCATGGAGATGAGAATATATCTGGTAAAGAGGGGATAAGTGGATCTAAATAATTACCTTGAACACATTGGTCACTCTGTCAAGACCAGAGGCATCCGATAATGTCCATCAGAGGGGATGCTTAAGACAGCGTTCCGGCAGCTGATGTGGGAGAACTGAGCACAGACAATCCAGGTCCTAGACTGGTTTGTAACTGTATCTTATCCTGGCAGACTGAGCTCAAGGGTATTTACAGTTATGAAATTATTTTGGTCATGTGTGTTACAAATATTTTCTCCCATAGTGTCATTGGATTTTTAATGAGCTTATGGTAAATTTTTTAGACCAGAAAAACTTTGTTAAGTTTGTTGTTTCGATGTTAAATTTTGTGTTACTTCTCTTGAGAATACATAGTTCTGGCTGGGAATGTGGATAGGAATTCTCTTCTCCCTTAGAGCCCAAGTTTCTACATAGGTAGTTGGATTAAAGGATATTTCATATCAGCTTAATTGTGGGTTTTGCCATGTATCACAAAATGAGGGAAGGTAAACCTCCAACTGGATGATACTACTTATTCAGAGTCACTCAAACTTAAATTATTTGAAAATGATCTCAATGTAAACCCTCTGGTTTAGGACTAGATTTTGGTAAAAGATTCTTACCCCCTTTCTAAATTTATGTTTAATTCTGTGGGTGGGGGTAAACCCAACCAAGAACTGCTTTGTCTCTCCCTGACGCCTGCCTGGGGAACACCCAGTTGAAAGCTTCCTGGCTGAGGCTGTGCTGGTGGCTGCTGTGCTGTCATTGCAGCCTCCCCAAACCCAGGGTCAGACGCAGATTCTGAGCTCTGAGGCCTGGAATTCCAGTTTGCACTTGAACTATGAGACCAGTGTTAGGAATAACTCTTTGCCTTACTTTGGGTAAGTGATCTGGGTCTGATTAAGGATGGCTTTTGTGGCTAAAGACAAAGGTCAGGTAGCTGCTGCTTCTACTTCTCCCACTGTACTCGACCAAACTGCTGGGGAGAAAAATGCATCCATGTGCTTGCATGTACCTATGTGTTTCTCTGCAGGGAATCTGGGCATCACAGTGAGAAGTTTCTCACATGAGCTACTCAGAGAAGATTCCCCTGAGTCACACAGCTCTGAGGCTCTAAGGAGTTTTGTGTTCATTGAGCCCAAGGGTCATGGAATACAGCAGGTGATCTTTGGCCTGTGGCTCTTGGTGGCCCAATAATATATACCAGTAATATTTCTCTTGCTTGTACAATGCACATGAAAATGCTTGTGTAGGGGGCACAGCCAGAGAGGAGAGTTCAGAAGAGCTCATGAACCCAAGTTTGACATTCCCGAGCTAATCTAGTGTTTCTCATCTCCTCAGGTATTACGGTTGATGCCAAGTCCACACAGCCAGATGCCATGGAGAGTACTGAAGGAGAAACGGTGCATCTGCCTTGTAACCACTCCACAATCAGTGGAAGTGAGTACATACATTGGTATCGCCAGACTGCCCACCAGGGTCCAGAGTATATGATTCATGGTTTAAAAGGCAATGTGAGCGAAGGAATAGCCATTCTGAACATTGCAGCAGATAGAAAGTCCAGCACCTTGATCCTGCCCCATGTCACCCTGAGAGACTCCGCCGTGTACTACTGCATCGTGAGAGAGCCACAGTGAGATTCCTGGGGCTGCCCCTGTGCAATATCTCCCTGGAGGGAAGAGAAGGAGCTGCAGCATCTAAAGAGGATACTGCACACGCAAAAGCAGCAGAAAAAATAAAAGGGAAAATAGAGAAAAGAAGTAAAGGGAAGACAGTGAGGAAATCAAGGAGGAGAGACTGAAAGGAGCCAAGAAGATGAAGAAGCAGCGCTCATGTTATTGAAAGGACAAAAAATTTAAGGAAAGGAAAAACCACACCTGTAAACCTGTAATGAAAGAGAAAAGAAATGGCAATTTTCCGTGACTGTTTTAATCAAGTGTTGTTTTGTATGTAGGTCTCACTACAACAGGTGAGAACAACCATTAGGTTACTCTAAAAACTTGCTCCCTTTGGACCCAGGGAAGTGCCCAAACTCAGAAGTGGAAATTAATTTCAGAAGGTCAGCTATTTTTCTTATAAAAAAAATTGGAACTTCTTTGTTCCTTATCTGTAGCATATACACTTAGGATTATTTTGGCAAGGAATTAAAAAAATGGAGGCAAATATGAGGATATTAATTTAATCTTTAAATTTATATTTCCAATATTACACAAAAATACAACAGATGGTTTTTCTCATTGTATACAACTCAAGATATTACATTAGTTTGTAGAGCAAAACTTGGAGTCTAAAACTGATTGCTGCTCCATTCCAGGTCTTCTGCCACTTGTAATGACCTGTTTTGACAGTTTTCAGTGTCCTGACAATTACATTTCTTTTTATTTTACAAGGATACTTATAGAAATATCTACTCAATTTTCTTACATAAGTTGGATCATATCTGTGTATTTATTTGGAACTTGTTTTTAGCTTTTAATTAAAATGTTTTTGATATGTGCTCATACATAAACATATATACATGTACTTTATAGTACATTTGTATAATAATTTCACTTGCTTACCTATAATTTTTTAATTTTTTACATATCTTAGGTATTATTATAACCTGAATCATAAATCAACAACTACCGATCCAGAACATATTTGGCCATGGATTATGAAAAATAGAGAGATTCACTGAAGAAGATAAAAGATAGAAGAAACATTGTCCATAGGACAATGATGCTTTAGTCCCCTTCGAAGAAGGCACCATGGGACCTCACACAGTCCTCCATATAGCCATCAGCTGCCCCATATTTTCCTGAGTCTCATTGGTGTTCTGCAATCTCTTCCCTTTCAAAGGTGGTTTTAGTTTTGGGAAAAGCCAGAAGTTGCAGGCCATCAAATCTAGGCCATGCAGAGACTGAGTCACCTGGGTGAATTGGCATTTCACCAAAAAACTCTGCCTGAGACGTGATGCCTGAGCAGGCACATGGTCGTGATGAAGGTGCCATTCATCAGTTGCCCATAGATACAGCCTTCTGAATCATCCAAATAGTTTCTGTAAAAGAATGTCCAAGCTTAATGCAAAATTTGATGCACATTTGTTGCTCTTCTCCCTCGGTCATTTTGAATGCAATGGCCACACCATTCACATGCTCACTCAACAGCATCTGCTCCACCACTGACTAGTACAGTGAAGCTGTCATTGTTCGTGTATGCACATTCCAGTCCACTCTCCTTTACTTTGCTGCCTGGTCACATGAATGTAGCACAAACCATTCTCCTTACATTAACAATGGCTGGACTTTCGCTGTACAGACTTTCATGTATGTACAAATGTATAAATATATGTTGATTTATACCTATACATAGAGAACACACATGTATATCCTAATCTTATTCTTTTTGAAATGAAATTGCTGAGCCAAATGACATGCTTATTTTATGTTTTCATAGATATTGAAAAATTGCCTTCCAAAATGGCTTTAAGTATCTACACTGCCAGCAATACTGGGAAACCAAGTCCCCTGCCTTTTGGTTAACACCATTATCAATCCTTTTATTTTTTAATAACTTGAAAGTATTTTGTTGGTATTTCATTTCATTTTCTTGATTACTAGGGCACTTGAACAACTTGTGCTTTATTTTGTCACTTTAATAGATTGTCTTTTTCTTGATTATTTATAACAATTCTTTTAATAACATGAATACTACTTTGTCTTTTATATATTATAATTATCTTCTCCAAATACGTTGTATCTTTTAAATTTGTTCATTATAAGGGATGTTTTTATGTTTATATTGTCACATCTAAGGCTTCCCATCCCAAAGTGATATATCTCAATTCCTACATTTTATTTCTCTCAAAGACATTCACGGGTCAGCCTCAGGGAGGGACGTGGGAGCTCTGCTAGGGTTCAGAAGATATTTGATGAGGTGAGATGGGACTCCTGATCAAAATGACGGGCTCCCACAGTCTGCGTTTTACCTGCAGAACTTTAAAATATTTTAATCAGAGAGTAACAGACTCATCGATTTAAAAAGAAACTGTTATTCATTTAATTGTGTACCCCTTCTTCACACACACAAACACACACACAAATTCTTATGTTGCATATCTTGTAGTCCTTTCCCAGTATTTTAATGTGACCTTTTTTGGAAATAGGGTCTTTACACGGTAATCAAGTTAAAATCAGATTTTCATGCTGGGACCAAATCCAATACTATTTGTCTCCTTATAAAGGGGGAATATTTGGACACACACACACACACAAATGCACACAAAGGAGACCATGTGAACATGAAAGCAGAGATCAGAATGAAGCACCTACAAGTCTAATGAGAGGCTGGAACAGATCCTTCCCTCTTCACGCTCAGAAGGAAATATCTCTGCTGATGTTTTGATTATACGCCGCTAGCCTGGACTGTGAGACAATTAATTTCTGGTTTTTAAGCCACCAGTTTGTGGTCCTTTGTGCTAGTAACTCAAGCCAACTCATACACTGGTCCAATTCATTCCAACTGGGTGTCACCTAAGACAAGACCTACCTGCTTCCCTATCACTCTGCCATGCTGTCCATCCATATGTCAGTGTCTGTGATGGGTGTCACTCTCAATGACACTGGAAGCTGTTTAGAATAATGTTTCCTTCAGGAGGTAAAATAATGTAATTTCCAAATAAACCTAGATGGAGAAAATCCATTGCTGTAAGAAAACCCATAAGACATATTAAAAGAAGTTCCTCAAGATAAATGAAAAAGGTATGATATGGTAGTATGAATGCACATGAAGAAATACAGAGCCCAGGAAAAGATAATTATATAGGTAAATATAAAAAGAAGTATAAATGCATTTTCTTCTATTCTCTTTTTATAAGTGTATTTAATGATTATGTTATTACAGTTGTCCCACATTTTTCTCCCATTTATTCCCTTCCACCTAGTACCCCACCTCCCACCAGCATTCCCCTCTCCCCCAGTTAGTTCATGTCCATGGGTCATGCATGTAAGTTTTTTGGCTTCTCCATTTCCTATACTATTCTTAACCTCCCCCTGCCTATTTTGTACCCACTATTTATGCTTCTTATTCCCTGTACCTTTCCCCCCATCCTCCCCCCTCACCCTCTCCACTGGTAACCCTCAATGTGTTCTCCTTTTCTGTGATTCTGTTCCTGTTCTAGTTGTTTGCTTAGTTTCTTTTTTATTTTGTTTTAGGTTCAGTTATTGATAGTTGTGAGTTTGCTGTCATTTTACTGTTCATTGTTTTGATCTTCTTTTTCTTAGATAAATCCCTTTAACATTTCCTATAATAAGGGCTTAGTGATGATAAATTTCTTTCACTTGACCTTATCTGGGAAGCACTTTATCTGAGCTTCCATTCTAAATGATAGCTTTGCTAGATAAAGTAATCATGGATGTAGGCCCTTGCCTTTCATGACTCTGAATACTTCTTTCCAGCTCCTTCTTGGCCTGCAAGGTTTCTTTTTGAGAACTCAGCTGAGAGTCTTATGGGAACTCCTTTGTAGGTAACTCTCTCCTTTTCTCTTGCTGCTTTTAAGACTCTCTCCTTATCTTTAATCTTGGGTAATGTAATTATGATGTGCCTTGGTGTGTGCTTCCTGGGGTCCAACTTCTTTGGGAATGTCTGAGCTTCCTGGACTTCCTAGAAGTCTATTTCCTCTACCAGATTGGAAAAATTCTTCATTATTTTTTCAAATACATTTTTAATTTCTTGTTCTTCCTCTTCTTCTTCTGGCATCCTTATGATTCAGATGTTGGAACATTTAAAGTTGTCCCAGAGCTTCCTAAGCCTCTCCTCATTTTTTTGAGTTCTTGTTTCTTCATGCTGTTCTGTATGAATATTTATTTCTTCCTTCTGCTCCAAATCATTGATTTGAGTCCTGGTTTCCTTCCCTTAATTGTTGGTTCCCTGTATATATTTCTCTATTTCATTTTGCATAACCTTCACTTTCCCCTCTATTTTGTGACCGTAGGGAACCATTTCTGTGAGCATCCTGATTACCAGTATTTTGAACTGTGCATCTGATAGGTTGGCTATGTCTTCATTGCTTAGTTCTTTTTTTGTAGTTTTGATCTGTTCTTTCATTAGGGTCATATTTCTTTCTCTTGGCACACCGGTTATGTTGTAAAGGGCAGAGCCTTCGGTGTTTGCCGGGTGGGGCAACTCATGTCTCTGTGTTGTGGCGCTGTATGTAGGGGAGAGGTCAGAGGGGGAACAATGCTGCTTGGTTGGCTCTCACCTACCTTCGGTCACTTCCCCTGCTACCCACAAGCAAATTGGGCCTCTAGTGCTGATTCCTGGGCGGGTGGGCTTGTGTACATCCTAGGACCCTGTGGGACTCTCCAACAAACACTCCTGTGAGGCTGGGAGTTTGTCCCGCTGCCACAGGTTCCTACAGTCAGACGTTTTGAGGCTTTCTTTTCCCGTGCTATAACCCTGGTTTGTGGAGTCTGTCTCACTCTCCTGTTGTTCCTCCTGGTTTATCTGCACACAAATGTGGAAGCGCCAGTCGCCAACGCGCCATCCCGTCCTCCAGCCGCTGTCTTGCCCCGCGACCTCTCAGCCCCGGCTGCCCCGTCTCTGCCCCTCCTACCAGTCTGGATGAATGTTTTTTCTTTAACTTCTTGGTTGCTAG